CAATTTTCAGAAAATAAAGATCGCTACCAGACCGATGCTTGAAGACCTCTATCAAATGTGTACTAACGTTACTTGCATGGATGGCATGAGAAGAGTTGATTGTATTGTGTACTGATATCCAAATAGAGAATGCGGGTCGTTGTGGCACGAGGAATATCTCATAACCACTCAGGATGAGGTAGATGCCATGCTCGAATTATTGAGGTCCAACAATCTCTCCAGAGCCGAGATGTTCGTTTACACCGAGCCCGTCGTAGGCGTTGGAGGTTATTCTGGAGACGGTCAAACATCTGGTATCCATGGTGGAGGTGAATTATATGGAGATCATCCCTACCAAAGTTACCATGATCCTCATTCCTATTTTCAGCACCAAGAGCAAGGTGAAGGTCATCATCAATCTTACCCGTCATATGAAGAAGAAGTTCAACCGGACAATGCCAACCAACCCGAGCACAACTTCCAATCAGGCAGTGGTAGTTTTCACAACTACCATTATGGAGCTGATGAAGGTGCCTTTCATGAGCTGGATCAGATGGAAGATGCCCTGCCAGCACCAGTTAGTGACCCCTCCGATGAAGAAGGAGAGAACAACGTCAGTGCAGACAGCGCCAACCCTCTTGAAGGTGCTGATGATTCAGGACCAGATTCAGACTCAGATAATGATGATGAGGTGGCTCATGACCGTGTACCAGTCCCCTACTACAATCACATTCTAGATGGCAATTGGATGGTCGACAGCGACATGGAACCGCCGGAGGTTCCAATATGGGGTCCACTCACTGGGTTTATAAAGGGCCAACAATTTGGCTCGAAGAAGGAGGTGGGCATGCCATTGATACTGAAGCAATGACTCGGCATTTTGAATGGCACACAACTCATTCCAACACGAAAAGGCTCATAGTCAGATGCCGTAATCATAACGAGGGATGAAATGTTAGGATTCGGGCCATCAACAGCAAGAGACACGGCCATTGGGTCATATCCCGTGCGGTGAACACACACACATGTGTGTCATCCATAACATCCCAAGGCCATCGACAGTTGTAATCTAGGGTGGTTGCTGCGGCTATCAAGCATCTAATTGAGCAAGATCCTGACCTGAAGGTGAAAGTCATAATCGCTGACATTGCAAGTCGTTATGGTTATATGATTAACTATAAGAAGGCGTGGCATGGAAAGCAGAAAGCTCTGGCAGCGGTATATGGTGATTGGGAAGAATCATATGCGTTCCTTCCCAGGTTGATTTTGGCACTGGAGGCGTCTAACCCTGGCACTGTTTTCTCCCCTCGATACACAGATAAAGAGCTACAACCGCCAGAGCCAGGTAACAAATGCCATTTCAGAAAACTTTTTTGGGCCTTCAAGCCATCTATTGATGGTTTTGGATTATGTGTCCCTGTCATCCAAGTGGATGATACATTCCTTACCGGCAAGTACAAGGGCACTCTACTGATTGCTAGTGGGGCAGATGCAAACAAACAAGTCTTTCCGTTAGCCTTCGCCATTGTTGAGGGAGAGAATACTGATAGCTATGGATGGTTTTTCCGGCAAATTCAGCTCCACGTCACTAGGAGGACGAACCTAACAATAATCTCTGATTGGCACGACGGAATTAGAGCTGCCATCTTAGGTTTGGATCAAGCCTGGAAATGGTCCCAAAGGTGGTGCATACGACACTTTAAGAGCAACTGGAATCATCATTTCAAGCGGAAGAAGCTTGCTGATAATTTGTGGTGGATTGGTAAGCTCTCTATTGGTTGTTTAATTTTGGAGAAGAACAACATCTTATATCAAATAAATGGTACACTTGTTAGACTTTTTATAAAGAGATGCATGCCTAAGGAAATGGGGTTTTAAGCGATTATCATGGTCCTCCCATTTCCTGGGAAAATCGGGTTTTAAGCGATCCTCGGATCCCCCTTTTTCTGTCAAAAAGGCTGTGTTTCTAAGGAGATGTAAACCTCTCCTAATAGTCCAACGAGAGTACCTGCTAGTTGTTCGAATTGTAATAAATTTCCTATTTATTACTAACGTAATACTTGATTGTGATTACCTCAACTGCTGCATACCAGAAGAAAAAATTCCAGGAGAAGTTGCAGAAGATGCGCGAGTTATGCCCTGAAGGGGCACAGTGGCTGGATGGACACGACCTATCCATGTGGACATTTCATAAAGATGGAGGTACAAGATGGGGTATGGCCACAACGAACTCATCAGAGAGTATCAATTCTGCCTATAAGGGTGTTCGGGCGCTGCCAATCTGCCATTGTGGAGATGACTTTCTGGAAAACGAATGGATGGTTCATCAATCAACTACACTGGGCAAGGACGAACGAGGCACAGGGAAAGGTCCATGTCAATAAAGTCACAGAAATACTGGAGCATGACAATCGGAAGAGTAGTCGACACAGTGTAACCGTTATGAATCGGGCAACTGGTGAGTTTAGCGTGACAACCGGACACCGTGAGGATGGTAGACGCGGGGGCCATCTCCATGAAGTTTTGGTAAATTTCAGGACAAAACTTGGTGAGTGCTTATGCCAGAAGTATCAGGGGAGAGGATGGCCATGTTCTCATGCAATGGCTGTAATTAATAACAGGAGCAAAGACACCCGTCACTTCGTCAGTCCATTCTTCAATATCGACTCACTCAAAAATTGCTATGGACGTAGTTTCCGTGCATTGCCTAATGAAGCTTACTGGCCGGTCTATTCAGGAAAGTTGATAATCCCGCCGTTCGGTCAGATGCATGAACCGGGTCGACCGAGGAAAAAGAGAATTCAAAACGAAATGGATCAAAGTGGAAGACCACCACGAGGCCCAAGACGATGTTCAGTATGAAGAGTTCCAGGGGATGATAAACGGAGTTGTCCAGGTCTGATTGGTCCTCAAAATCCGGGGCCTGATGTGGGGGAGTCAGCTAATGCGACATAGTTTGCGGTTTTCATTTGTTGGTACTTGTTATGTATGTTTTCAATTATTGTTAGAGTTAGAGCTATGATGCTTGGAATTTTCGTGTTTTCAAATAACCCTCAATTAACACTCAAGCCTTAAGTTAACACGATCAAAATAGAGAAAGCCAAGAACTTTGAACTAAAATTAAAATTCCATCTCAAGGAAGTCTCTGGGACTCATGGGGCTGCAAATTTTTCTGGCTTCTTGTACGACGGCCGACGGGAGTGACCATCAGTGGTTCCGGTGGCAAGTTTCGATGGGTCGTGCTAGGGCGGTCGTCGGTGATGTGTCAGCGTCGATCCGTGGTATGCGGCGCTTCCGGGGTCGAGCGGGGGACATCGACGCTCATACGGTGAGGGGTAGGAGGCCACTGCTGATGTGGGCGAGGAATGGGATTGAAGTCGTGATGCGCAGTCGTGGAGGATCCATCATGCCAAGTACCTGAGGATGTGGGGGGTTTGTTGAAGAAGTTTGGGCGGGTATCATAGTATGATGGGCAGGGATCGTGGTATGAGATCAGGTGGGATCATATGGAGATTGATGGTAGCTCGGAGGGGATTGATGGTAGCTCGGGCGGGGATCATTGTATGAGCTCGGGAATTGCTCATGATGGTAGGTCGGGCGGGGATCTTGGGAGTGGGTCGGACGGGGATTTTGATGTTAGCTTGGACCGCCACCGTGTGCCACATCCAAGGGGGTCGACACTCTCCACGCCTCCAACGGCTTTATCTAAGGCTCATAAGGTCTTTCCCAAACCTTCTTGCTTTTCTTTCTCTCGTATGGTGGTGGGGGATGGGGGACATCAACTTGTACCGGAGGTGGCACCGGTGTGGCATGGGTGGGTATCTACGATGATCACGACCCTGTGGTCTGATACAGCCAAGCAGACTGTTTGTCATCCTCCGAATGAAGCTCACATCTTCGTGTCCCATTTCATGTTTCCCATGGGTCAACGCTTTGATCCGCTCGATCCCATCAGCCTAAATCACAAAAAAGGTTAGCAAGATAAGACTAATGATGTGATAGAATGAAATAAGCAATATATTTAATCTTATTAGACGGAATATACTTACCAATGCACCATTGGCCGCACCCTCCGGAGTCACGTACCGAACCGATGTTTGCCAATATCTATCTATGTATGGGTCATGATACCCCATTCGACCCACACTTGTTGGAGTGACAATATCCTGAAGTTGTCGGTTCTCCCATACATTGATCAATTCCGCCAACTTCGTGGGCCAATCGTGAGTACCTTGCCGACCATCTCGGTGGTGAAAGGCTCTTTGACTCTCGGGGACTTCCAACGGAATGCAATGCTCCCGACCAAACTGACGAAGGCATCGATTCGGCAGGTGCCACTCCACGGTCCCTAAACAAATGAGAGGGACCCACGTGTACCATTGCCCGATATTCTCTGGGAATTGCTGTAAATGCCAATGAACGATGTTCGCCGAGTATGGATCGAATTTGATCTACAAAAAAATATTAGTAACTTAAGTTAAATCTGATTGGAAAAATACATGTACTCCATGAAAAAAAGTTATAGCACTTAGAAGTTTTCTAGTTACCTCTCCTTCCAAAGTCGCTCTAGCCTCCTCCGATACTCTACCAACTTGTGTTGGGCAAGGTTGTTGCATGTTGAGGCTCCAACCCACCTTATTAATAAGACAATAATAAAAATACACTCAATTAAAATAAGCTAAAAAATAAGGAAAATTGTGTTATTAAAATCATGATGGGGTATGAGAAATTTACCTACAACCATAAGCTTCGAGTCTTAGGGGATGATCGGGACCCCAATTCCTGTCGGGACATTGGAGCGGTGCAATCAATGGCAGATGCTCCCAAGCCCAAAACTGGACGATGAACATTGCGCCGCCGACCTCCCTCAAAGCTTTGAGAGATGCGTTGCACAAATGGTGGTAGATATTAGCTAGGCAAGCGGATGCCCAGCTCAACTCCCTCATCGCATCCCAACTACCAAGGAGGATCCTAAGCCATCCACAGCTAATTAAATTGCTCGATTTTTTGGAGAAGAACACTCATCCTATCATGCCTATGAGATAGACACAATCATATATTTCCTTCTCCAGCTCCAGACTTTCCTCGATTAGGGGCACCCCATCTTTTTCAGGATCGTGATGGTCCCTAAAATACTTCGTCAACCAAGTGATTGATATTTGGCCTTTCCTCAAAACACTGTGGATGAAATACTGCCAACCGGTCATACCGTCACGATCCTCGGGGGGATGATCACTCACACACACCGCTTTGCCGTCGATAGGCAGATGAGTTAGGATGGCGACGTCCTTGAGTGTGATGGTGCACTCTCCTTCGCGAAAGTTGAAACAATGTGTCTCCTTTCTCCATCTCTCCACCAATGCGGTGATGAGTTGGCGATCGACTTTTATGCCTACAAAATGCCTAATCGACTCCAACCGGGCCCTTTTGAGATAGGGCAAGATGACTGGGTTCCATGGGAGCACATTGTTCGTACCCCTGTAGCGGAGTATTTGTTTTGCCTCCTAGCAAAAATTTCAACGTTATTTATGATATATTAGTAACAGTTTAGTCTTATAACTAAATAAATTAAAATTAATGATTTAATTTCAACCATTATTAAAATTATTTATGATATATTAGTAATAGTTTAGTCTTATAACTAAATTAATTAAAATTAATGATTTAATTTCGAATATAATTATATTATAATTATATTATTAACAATCAAATTTAAGTAATTTGCGGTTTTTCCAAGATATATGCTTATTATCATAAAACAAACATACTAAATTAATTTACATAAATAACATTCTAAATGAACAGTAATTTAAAGAGATACATTTGAAATTAATAAAATTCATTTAAGTATACATAAACATAAATCGTATTAGTTGTTTGGTAAGTAATTTAATCGTATTGGTTGTTTTAAATAATTTAATCAAATACAATGCAACATTCGTTAGACTCTTGGAAGAGGTATACATCTTCTTAGAAACACATCCTTTTTGACAGAAAAAGGGGGGATCCGAGGATCTCTTAATACCCGATTTTCCTAGGAAATGGGAGGATCATGATAATCACTTAAAATCCCATTTCCTTAAACGTGCATCTTTTTTTAAATAGTCGAAGTAAGTGGCGCTATGTATTCGATTAAATTATTGAAAACAACCAATACGATTAAATTATTTCAAATTTATTTTATATTCCACTAAGTACATTAGCAAAATAAAAGAAAGATAAATGATGAAGAATTGTATGTACCGGGTGATCGTTCCAAACATCCCTTGAACGATGGTTGGGTTGGTCATACAAGTCGGTCGGATCAATAGGCCCTTGATCCAAATAGTACTGTTGGTTGTATATATTCACGTCGTCCCCAACCTACGAGAGAATAACAACAAGGTTAGTACATAGATTAATTAAAAAGCTTATAACAAAAATAAAAATTGACCAAAATAATGAGTACGCACCACTTGAAATTTATCATAATAAACTCCCTCTCCTAGGAACCACTCGTCCATATTTTCGTGAAAGTCGGACAGAATTTTGGCGGGGTTTGAGGGAAAAACCAAAGAAATGTTTTATGATGGCAGATCGGACTTAGGCGCAACCAACAGACCACTATTTCCTAGACTTTTGGGAGGGGAGGGAGGGGTTAGAGAGCTAATTCTAGAGAGAAAGAGTGGAGAATGGTTGTGGTGTGAAAAAATGAGAGGGGGAGGGGGTATTTATACCCATCAGACCGCACCCTCTAGGGGCGGTCTGGTAATTTCGCCCCCGGTCAAACCGCACCTTCCGATAAGGTCTACATTTCCCGAGGCTTGACCGCTCCCTGTTGCTGCGGTCTTCGATCCGTGGCAAGGATCGCTGAGGCGGCAAGCGGTCCGCCGCTGGATCGCTTCCTCATCATGCGGTCTCCAAGGCCGCTGCCCACCAAACACAAACTGCACCTCCAAGGTGCGGTTTCCAGTCTGACGTGGACTAAAACACACCTTGGAGGTGCGCTTTGATAAAAATGGTGCTATTTTTGTAAATGTTGTGGGCTGGATGTTATTTTTGTAATTTTTTTTAATAGGTGCTATTATTGAAAAAATCCCACATATGTTTGGTGATGATAATTCTATATTTATATTTTATCTTAAATTATTTATATTTTATAAAAATATATTAGTTCTGAGATTGATCAAACATTAATATTAAATTGTATCTGTAGTTTAGTTTAGACAAAATATATAAATATAACCAATACATGGACCTTTGTGACGAGTATATCCATTTTTGTGATAAATATACACATAATATAATGATAATTTTGGAAAATGGGAGTTTCATTTCAAATTTCGTGGTCTGAGATTGATCCCATGAAGCTCTTTTTCATCATTACGCCCAATTTATCTTTATATTATGTGTAGATTGTCACAAAAAATTACTATATTTGTCACAAGTTCCATGTTTTGGCTAAACATATGTATTTTATCTAAACCGAGCCATACATACAATTTAATATTTAATGTTTGAATCAATATTACTTAAGTTCCGATTTCACAATTAATCACTTTCTATAAAATATAATAATTTCAGGTAAAAGTAGAAAGTGTAATGTAAGATTTTTCATTTCAAATTTCGTGAATTGAGAGTGAAAGTAGGAAGAGTAAGTTTGTCATCATAATTATTTATCTACTTCATATAAAAAAGTATCAATATCAAGATTTGAACCATGCTCTATTCAAACAAAAAGAATAATCACAACCAATTACACTAAACAAATTTATTTTATCTTATTAAATTGTAAACATACACGGAGATTTGAAAAGTAGAGGACTTTTCCATCACTGTTAGCTAGCCTATTAAATCTTTCTGAAAAGCAAAGTTTAATACGTGATTTATAATTTTTTATAACCTATACAATTTCGGATAATCTTAAAATGGCAACCCAAATTTCGTTGCTTGAAATAATGCATATCAAATTGCAGTATTGAATATTCAAAAGTCATGTAGAATTCTTTAAATTTATGTAAATTTTCAGAACTACTACGAAGCAATAATATTTTGTACAAACTATAGGTGAATGGTTCTCTAAAATTTTAGTATGATTAACTGCTAAACTTTATACCTATTGCTAATTTGGCATGAATGGATTCAACAATAATGAGGAAATATTGGTTTAATCTGATGATCATTTCACCATTTTTGGATGTGTTAGATCAATTTATATGGCATTAACATATAAATGAGTTATAATTAACCTCATGTTACAGTGTTAACTCTTCATAATTATTAATTTAATCTTAATATTTGTGATGATTGATATATTTTATCTATGATTTAGAGGTATACTTATTATTTGTGACATGAGTGGTAGTTGGTCAAATGTAGTATTTATTTCATTATGTAGTCAAAATCGAATACTGGGTGCATTTATGACTGTTTTTTTATATTGATGTTGTGAATAGGTAGAAACTTAATTATTAGAATGCATATAACTATACCTAGGCACATGGTCGAGCTAACACGACACAGTTAGCGCATATCGTGAAGACTATATGTGGATTGGTTCTGTACGAACATGAATGCTTCATGGGTTGTACTAGACCTAAACTTTAAGGGTTCGCGCACAAGTGCGAACACCACACAGTCTATATTGATGAACTCATGTTTTATGGAGAAATATGCCATTTGATAATAATAAAATAAAATATTCTAAAAATAACATATAAAATTTGAATTAATGAGTAGTTTTTAACATCAATGTGTAACGGCTCATATTTTAAAAGGTTTATATAATATATTCATTGTTTATTTTGAGACTCAAACCTTTACCAATTTATGCAACTAAACACTCATTTATAAAATCGTTCTTGATTAACTTCATAGTAAAAAAATCTTTTTTACGGCTTGCAATAATAAAAAACAACGTCAACAATAATTTTAGAAGCAAGTAAAGTGAAGAAGAAATTGAGATTTATTATCTCTTTGCAAATGTGTGTGTTTGGGGGGGGGGGGAGATTTTGTTGGTCTAAAATATTTGAGGAAAGGGTTGAAATTCATATATCATTTTTTCGAATATTGCATATTGAATATGAGTATTGAAAATTTGGAAGCGATATATAATTCTTAAATTAGTATTAATTTTCAGCTTGATTGACCAATAGTCTTAGACCTCTTGCTAAACTGACATTATTGGATCCAATAATCATAAGATGAGATTTAGTTTGATATGTTGGTTCAAACCATTTTTTATGTGTAATGAATTTGTACAACAAATACATGTAAATAAGTGAAGATGAACCTGATTATGCATTTTGATTCTTTTGATAAATAAAATAGTTTAAGCGATGAACTAACTATACGCTCACTCAATTGATTTAACGAGTGTTGTTTTTATCACTTTTAGTAATTAGTTTATTCATAAGCTATCAAACTACTTTGCTCCGTCGAGGAATAAGCGGCCATCTGTTCACCAGGGTTCAGGTGATTTGATTCACACTATCGGCTGTGAATGAAGAATAAGCATTTCGAAAGCAAAATTGGAGAAATAATTGAGATGTTTCTAGGTTTCTCTCGATTCAGGCGGTAGGAAGAAAGAGGAAGGGAATGGGGAGAGTGGTGAGATTCAACCTCAGAGGGTAAGGAAGAGGAAGGCAAAGAGAGAGTGAGAACACATTTACAAGAGGGGAAAAATTATGTAGAGTGATATAATTGTCTTTCTCCTTTGCTTAGAGGGTATTGTTAGCCCTCTTATATTGAGTTTTGATTTATTTTAGGGGATGACATTATATTTGACATTTTTTTCCATTTCAATAAAAAAAATCCTAAATCAATAATATCATTTGAATGCTCTCTATTGGAAAAAACTTAAAGGACATACTAAACTCTATGAGAGATATGTTCTTTCATCCTAAAGGTTGATTATGTATGTAATATGAGAAGCAACTCTAAAATTCAATTATATGGTTTAATTAAATAATGAATGATAATTAGTTATATTTATTTCTTTTCTCATTAAGTAATTATATGTAATGTTTATATAATTTTCCCCCTCTTTTCATGTAGGTCTAAACACTTTATGCATAGTTGGATCACTTTCAAAGATGTTATGTGCATAACTAAGGTACAAAATAATCACTTCATGCATTTTAAATCATGCATTATATCCACTATCGTATACCATATTAATCGACAAATTTTTTCCGGCCAACGGGCCGAGCCTTGTGCTAGTTTCTTTGACAATAAGATGTTTTTCTCATGCAAGATGATTGAGAAAAGTATTTTCTAATTTCTTTCGGTGTTCCTGAAAAATTTGTTCTTCTACATATCACCCTAGAATGTTCAACTATCAGTATACTGATTACTGAATAATAAAGGGTCCATAATGAATAGAATACCATTATACATACCCTTTCTAAAAGCTCTCATGGACATTCCAATGGTAAATTTAAGACATAATGAAAATAGAGAAGAGATA